TATATATATATATATATATATATATATATATATATATATATATATATGTGTGTGTGTGTGTGCATAAAACACAAGATTTTATATATATATATATATATATATATACAAGATTTGTATTACTTTGGATAGATATTACTTTGGATCATATGGTAGTTTAATTTTTAAAATTTATATGCACCTGCATATTGTTGGAGATGAACAACAAATTAATATTCTTTTCATGAACACAGGGAATGCTCTGTATGACATATTAAAGACTGTGGGAGAAAATAAGTCTCAATAGGTTTAAAAATATTTAAATTCTACCAAAGGGTAAAATGAAATTAAGTTAGAAATCCACAAAATCAAGAAATTTGAGCTTTAAACAACACTTCCAAACAACTAACAGATCAAAGTAAAGTTAATCAGAGAAATAAAAATCATTTTGAATCATATAAAAATTAAAACACAAATTTTCAAAATTATAATATACAGCTAGTACAGGGCTTTCAGGGAAATTTATGGCTTAAAAATACCCATATCAGAAATGAGGTTATCAAGTTATCAATCTGAACTTGTACCACAGTAGTTATAAAACATCAACAATCAAAACTTGAGATAAACAAATATTGGCATGGAAGTGAAGAAAAAGTATCATTTACACATTGTTGGTTGGAATGTAGATAAGCATAGTTATAGTGTTTTAAGAAAACCATAAGCAGGTGCCTCTAAAATTATAAATAAAACTACCACATGATTCAACAATCCTATTTCCTTGTATCTTCCAAAGAAATGAAAACCATTATCTCAAAGAGATATCAACCTAAGTGTCTTTCAATGAACAAATGGATAATGAAAATATGAGTATTGTTCAAGCTTAAGAAAGAAGGAAATCCTGCTACTTGCGATAACAAGGATGAACTCAAAAGACATTAAACTAAGTGAAACAAGCCAGACAGAGAAAGATAGCACTACGTGAATTATATATGGGGGAGAGAGTGAAAAAGAGGGGAGAGAGAGATGATAGAGAAAGAGATGATAGAGAAAGAGAGACAGAGGAAAGAGAGAGGGAATTTTTCAGAAAGGGTTTCTCAAAAATCGAAGGAATGTCAAGAGTAGAAGAAGGGGATTGAGAGGAAGGGAAAATGGGAGGATATTAGATTTATTGGGAAACAAAATCTACCAAATTTTGCTATGTTCATATATGAAAATACTTCAGTGAATCTGCTTATCTACAAAATTCTAAGCACCAAAATAATAACAATGATGACAGTGATAATAATAGAAGGGAGATCTGTAGAGTGGAGCAAGTGGATGAGGAGGAGGGAAGAGAGGAGGGAAAAGGAAGTTCTGGGAATAAGATTGATAAAATTATGTTATGTGCATGTATGTATATGTCATAATGAATTCCACTATTATGTATAATTTAATGCACCAATTTTTGAAAAAAGCCATGCTAATCTCACAGCATCCACCAATTCTATAGTAATTATTAAACTGTCAATCTACCTCACTAGAGCGTGGCTTCTCCCTGCAGCTTGAGGTTTCAAACTGTTTCTTTAAACTGTAATAAGATTTACATACAGAAAATTAAAAAAAAATTCTCCTTTGGAAAAAAAATAGAAGACTTTGTAAATTCCAACTCAATTAAGCAGTATAATGTGATCTCAATTCTAAAGCTAAATAAAGACATCAAAAAGAAAACTATAAACATTTATTTGTCATAATAAATATGCAAATGCTTATCATAATATTATCAACATAAAATTCAGCAACATATAAAGGAAATTATTTACTGTGCTTAAGTGGATTTTATCCCAGAAATACAAGTATTGGTTTTACATTTTAAAATAAATTAATACAATACCCATCTTAAGAGAAAAAATGACAAAATCCCTAAGGTCATCTCAATAGACACAAAAAAACAAAATATTATTTTCAGTTCTTATAAACCACACTTTATATAAAAACTTTTCTAAAGCTAAAAATAAAAAGGAGCTTCTTCAGCCTGATAAAAGGCATCCATGAATAATCTAAGAAAATATCATATGTAACTGTATAAAATTTGTTTTCTTCCTAAGATTTAGAGTTAAGAAAATATGCTCTTTCCACTTTGATTCCAAATTATACTGAAAAGTCCAGGTAATACATTTAAACAAGCAATTTAAGTTTCCAGTTTTGAAAGGTATATATGGTATTACCTCTAACTACAGATGACATGAATCTATATGTAGAAAATCCTAAGGAATCCATCAAAAAAGTTGATAAAACTCATCAATGAGTTTATTAAGGTTATAGGATACAAAATCAACCTATAAACATCAATAGTAATTAACAATCTAAAAATAATATTAAGGAAATAATTGTATTAATAATAGCATTAAAATAAAAAAGGACAGGAAAATTTATAAAATAATACAAAATTCTTATTCTGAAACACACAATGGTAAGTTATTAAAGAAGTTTTAAATAAAGGCAGGAATATTTTTTATTTACAGATTGGAAGTCTCAATACAGTTAAAATATTAATTACCCTAAAATGGATCTTTACTCATAAAAATTCCTCACAAAGGGCCACCAGGCCTTTTTGTAGGATTTGATGAGTTTATCCTGAAATTTGTATAAAAATATAAGATATTTATCATATCAGGCAAAATAGTTATTCAAAACTAAACACGATAAATTCAAACCATAAATTAAGATATCAGTAAACATGGCAATGTCAAATTAAAACAAATAATATGAAAACGGATATCATATA